GAGCCACCCACTTGGTGAGAGGGGAGCAGAACAGGGCCTATGAGGAGAGACTGAGGGACCTGAACCTATTCAGCCTCTGCAAGAGGAGGCTGAGTGGGGACTTGGTGGCTGCCTACAAACTCATCAGGGGAGATCATCAGCAAATAGGAAGAGCCCTATTCTCCCCATCATCACCTGGGGTGATGAGGAACAATGGTAATAAGCTGATGGAAAATAGGTTTAGGTTAGAGATCAAGAGGCAATATTTTACAGTTAGGGTGGCCAAAATCTGAAACCAACTTCCTAGAGAAGTGGTCCTCGCCCCTACCTTGGGCAAACTCAGAAAGAGGTTAGATGATCACCTGCCTGGGGTTTTGTGAACCCAGCATTCATTGCTGCCTGTGGCAGGGGGTCAGGCTAGATGATCTGATCAGGTCCCTCCTACTATGAAACTATGGACTTCACAAGGAGCATGCAGTCCAAGTGTTTGTAGCTCTGCAGATCATAAAGGTAGGGGACTTCAAAAAGTAAGTCTTCTAACATTTAACAACAAATGTCTTTAAAAGTTTTATTTAGGAAATCATAGAAACATAGGTTTTGAAAGGGAGTATGCAGGTCCTCTAATCTAGGCCCCTGCAAGATGCATGTTTACTAATAACTAACCTGTTCAAAGCCTCTTGAAAACTTCCAATGAAGGAGGTTCCATTGTCCTGCTGTTCTTAGTTAGCAAGTTTTTTTTTTCCTGAGATATAATCTAAATTTGCTTTGCTGTCATTTAAGCCTGTTGCTTTGCAGTTCTACAAAGGAAGGAAAAAAGTTCAATTTCTGATGTTCCAAATACTTTGATGCCAAAATGTGAGCAGAAGTATTCAAGCCTTGTTTGATGTTGCAAGCATGAGAGAGGAGTTGCAGAATTTTGCCCTATCAGTTGAGGTTTATTTCTGGAGAGTGGTATCTTTGACAGATCAGACCAATGCCTACTCCAAGGAGATACCACTTTGCTCTACCATTCTATAATGTGTTGCTCCCTGCTCTGGAGGCAAAAATTAACCTGTAATTGTCCCAGTGAGCTGTGAACTGGCCCACTGTACATGGGGGTAAGATTCTACTGGGGTACCCAGGGAAAGAGCAAGGTAGTGCCTTGCCACCACCATCTGACCCCCTGAGTTTCAGTTCCCATCCCCCTGCCCCAAAGCCCTACAGCCCCTGGAGCCCCAGAGCCATCCAGCTCCAGAAGCATCAGCTTCCCCCATGAGTTAGGAGCAGTCAGCCAGGCAGGCAATCAGTGCTTTCCTCTGCACTGTTCTCAGGAATTAACTGAGCCAAGGTGTGCTGGAATATCTGCTCCATGTCCCTCTAGTGGTGGAGTCTGAGTACTGTATACTGAGACAGGCACATGGAGCATGTGCCTCTCATCTTACATCCAAGCTCTGCTACAGCACAAAATTCCTGTGTTGGAATGGCACAAATTGAACACATGCCAAAGCCTTCAAAACACAGCTGCTTGCCCATTATGCCTTTGTTCTTGAATGCGAAAGTTAAAGCATATGGCACTGTCAACAGCAGAGTATTAAAAAGTGTTTTTCAGACTTTGCAGGAAAAGAAACCATAGCAAAGAGAAGTAAAAAGGGAGTGAGATTAAATGAACTCTTGCCAAGTAAATCAGGGATACCTACTGTACAAATAGATGTAGTAGGCCATATAGAACACACAGTTCTTTAATAGTAAGAACATATTTCAAATATTTATTACTAACAACATCAAGATTGATTAAAAGCAAATATTTGTATATAATATGAAAAGAATATTTATATAAAAGATAGTAAGTCTTTTTGTAGTGTTTTGTTATTTGGGGGGGATATGTTTTTTCTGAATTGCTTGAACCAAGCAAACTTTCTGCAAGTGTTTTCTTTCAAATAATTAAAGCTAGAAAATACACACAGTATGCTCTGCTAATCTGGAGGGAAAGATGGAAGTCTGTATGTTGATCAATGCAATAAAATTAAGTTTCATGCGTGTTTCTTTTCACGTTTAACTGCAAAAAGTGCAAGGGCTCATCTAGCATACCTTTTTTACATTTTAAAGAATGAAATGCAGTGTTACAGAAATATTCTTACTTCTCTAAAGTTAGTGCTTGGTAAATTTGACGGAGCCATATGAACCAGTCAGTAGCAGGCATTTTTTTTGGCACCCAGCACCTGAAGGCAGAAAGAATACATGCAGTTTAGTAAAAGCCTTGCTTTTCAAGATGTGCTCCTTCCCTTCACTGAGTTGCATGTGGTTTCTTCCATCAGTACCATATGCACGCGCGCGCACATGCACACACACACGTGTGTGTCTTCTTTTACCTTGAGCTTCCAACCCAACCTTTGGAAATGGCCACAGTTCTAGCACTAAATATGTGTAATGTCTGCAAATCTCTGATAACTCACACTTTGAGGATCTGTGGCATTGGAAACAGTAGAAGTAGATCAGGGAATGAGAGAAACATTTCCCTTATTTGGGGAAGTTATGTAGGTAGTTTGGTTTGAAAGGAAACAGAGAGGACATTCAACGAGGCAGCTGCTGGGGAATAAAGTTAGCAGGCACATGAGCTAGTAACTCTGTTCATAATTCTCTACCATGACCAGTGTCTCTCTCTACTTGCACTCCAGCAACCTGAAGTGATACTCAGTTCATAGATTCATAGATTGTAGAGTAGGAAGGGACCACAGTGGATCACCATGTCCGACCCCCTGCCCCTGCCAGGGAACAGGACCAAGGTCAGATGACCCCAGCCAGATGACTGTCAAGCCTCCTCTTGAAGACCTCCAAGTTAGGTGATAGTACTACCTCTCTTGGTAGCCCATTCCAGATTCTGGCCACCCTTACTGTAAAAAAATTTCTTCCTAATGTCTAACTTAAATCTTCTCTCCACTAGTTTACACCCATTATTCCTAGTTTTTCCCTGGGGCGCTCTAGTAAACAGCACATCAGCAATTCCCTGTTGTCCTCCCTTGATAAACTTAAAGGTGGCTACAAGGTCTCCCCTCAGCCATCTCTTGTGAAGGCTGAAGAGATCCAGATCTCTCAGCCTCCTCTCGTAGGGTCTTTCACAGAGGCCTTAGTCTGAGAATTCTAGGACTATTTCCAATGTTACTTAGCCCTGTTTACAGTCTGTTAAAGCAGTTTTATGTATGGATATATATTTCAAGGCATCTACATTGAGTGAAAATGAAAATTAACACTGAAGATTTCTCAAAGGTCTGAAAACCTTAAGCGTGGCAGGAATTACCACTGCTACTCTTCAGGATTTAAAATCTGGTTAAATTGGCTGCAGATCAGTGTTACTTAACATGTAAGAAACTATGTGTTAAGTACCTGCAATCATTCATAAAGTAACATCTTTGTCAAGCCCTTCGGTACATTTGTCCACGTAATATGTGAATAAAAAGGACAGTTTCCGAAAGAAATGAGAAAATTCTTTTAATTCTTATATTGCAGATGAGCTTTTAAAAGTGGTTACCCTTTTTTCAGTTTTTCATTTAATGCTTTTCACAATCAGAACATAAATGAGATCTGCTGGCTAAACCAGATATCTAAGAATTCAGTTGATAAGTATTTCTGAATAAAATAGTTACCCTACACAAGGTTACTGAAACAAGACATTTGAGAGGTTTCTTCCATATGGTGTATAATCAGATTTACATTTACATTTTTTACTGTTTTGGATTTCACTCTGAAATTTTTATCTAATTGCAAAGGGGGAACATACGTGAATCATTCCTTTTATGTTTTTTGATGCACAGGGCAAAATCTAGATAGTATGCTTCATGGCACAGGAATGAAGACAAATCCTGACCAGAAGAAACAGGCAAATGGAGTAACGCTGGCTCCAGAAGACACCTTACCTTTTCTGAAGTGCTACTGCTCAGGACATTGCCCAGATGATGCCGTTAATAATACATGCATGTAAGTATTGTACACAAGGTATAAGAGTTTGTCAGTTTCTCTTGCTCATTAGTGTTGAGCATCTCTTGAAGGCTGTCACTAACGATGTACAGATGTTCAGTTTCTACTAGTAGAAACCAAAAGCATGCAAACCTTCATGCTCCTTTTTCCAGACCAGAAACGGCAGTTTTGGAAGAAAAATAAGATGACTTCAGCCAGGGAGAGGTGGGTCCTGGGCAAGTTTCTCCTGGGAGAATGAACATTTGTCCACTTTCTCCTAGCTTAACTACATCCAGGGCCCAGGAGCATTTGAGCTGGGGGTAGAGGCTCTTGTACATTCCTTTGACCAGAGTCACCACAGGCTTGGAGCATTCTGATCTATGGAAGGGGGCAGCTGCTCCTTCCCCTTCCATAGACCAGGAGGTGAGAAAAGAAGCAGCTGCTAACTACTTCCTGCCAGTTCCTCAGATTCCAGGGACTCTGGTGTGAGAAGCAGGCAGGGGCTTTGTCACGCAACTCCATCTGCTTGACTCTCAGAAACCAAGAGTTGAGTGAAGGTAGCAGTGCTAAAAGCCTGTTGCCTGCTTCTCACACTGGAGACCCCAGAGTGAGAAGAGGGCTGGGGGCTTTGTTCCAGTGCTCCCCTCCACTCCTGGCATGATTTAAAAGCCAGTGGGACTGGGAAGTATCTTGGGGAGAGCATCCCTAAGCTTAGTTCATGGCTCTGCTGGATTGTAAATCACCACTCTCACAGTTCAGCTTTGGATAGTGTGGGGCCAACAGGAAGCCAGTGAGGTGGGGACCAGGCCAAGAGAGGCTCTCTCTGGGGTGACAGGACAAAGCACTCACCCACTTGTAACACCAGGAATAGAGCATAGGAGCAGCTCTTCAATTCTCCCTGCCTGATCCCTGTGTTTTCCCCCTCTTCTCCTGGACCAGTCCAGAAAGGGAGGGGAAGAATGGGGTGCAAAGCCTTCCTGGAGCAGCCACCCCTGCTCCCTGTCTCTCCCAAATCAGGACCTGCCTGGCTTAGGGAGGGAGCATGGGGGCTTTGCCTTGCTTCTCCCATCCCCTCCCAGACTGGTCTAGGACAAGAGAGGAGCGGCAACTGTTGCTCCCTTCTTCCCCAAACAGCATTCCCAGCTGTGCGCTTTGTCTCTTTGCTCCCTTTTGACTCCTGGACTGGGATTGGGAAGATGAGACACTGCCTGGTTTGGGGAAGGGGTTGGGGGATTTGCTGCATTGCTCTCTCTGCTCAGCTCCCAGACCAGGAATGGGGTGGAAGAAACTGTTCCCTGCCCAGACCCCCCCTCTAGTGAGGGACATTCCTCACTATTCCATTCCCCCCCAGGGTCTGGGAGGAATGAAGCAGGTGTTACTTCCCATACTGTCTCCAGATTAGGAATACCCTGTTCTGAGGAAGACAGGGAGAGCAGAAGTGAGGGGGTGACAGAATGTCTGTACACTCTCTCCCCCAGAAAGATTTCTGAGAAATTTCCACCAGTAGAAATGAGCATCTGTTTATGGCCTTTTAGGTGTTTGTCAGCCTATTTTTTCTACAAAATTTTCTTGTGATAGCATGTCAATTTACCTGCATCTTGCTGTCACAAGTACAAAAAACATCATATAACTATATTATGCAATGCTTTTTCATGTTACAAATGCATCAGTAGTAGAGATAAGGAATGAATTGGAAAAGGAAAAACCAAGGAGAGCCTTTGAACAAGGTACCAAAAGTGTGTGTAAAGAAGCAAGATAGCATTTATCTTTGATAGACTTAAGTTCTAATAGAATAGCTTTGTGTTGATTGCATACTTGTTTTACTTCAGAAAATATACTTTAGTAAAAGTATAAATAAAAGAATGCTGCTGTTTAAATGATCCTCATTTAAGAGTTGAATGGGAAAGTTTGTTAGAGGTTCTGTGTTTGGGATCACCTGGCCTTAGGCTATACAGGAACAGCCTTACCGTATGCTACTTGTAGGCCAGTGAAGGAGAGGACATAGTGGAGGCATTTCTCCCTTCTTCACCCTAATACATTCCCCAACAAACCTTCTTTCAACAAAGGAAGAAAACTGGACTAGGGTTCCTCTGTGATCTTCTATTTACTGGAAGGAAAATTTTCCAGCATCTGTTTCCATCCAGTGTAAAGTTACCATGCTTGTGCTCACAAAGTGGCATAACTGCCAAGCAAATCAGTCAGTGTTTCCCACAGCAGTCTAAAATAAATTTGTAATTATATTTAGGGAATCTGGTGCTGGCATACCAGAAGTTATTCCCGTCACTACATGTCCAGTATGGAACAGTAGACTTAACTTACAAACACCTCTATGATACTTGAAAATAATTTAGAATGTTTTGAAATTTTCCCTGTTCCCTCTCCCTTGCGATCCCTAGCTCTTAACCTACACACTGGACCTCTTATTTTAGCTCTTTCTCTCCCTTCTCCCTTGATAATTAGAAATCTAAAATAATTTTATGCTGTATTCCAGAGAGACCTAACATGACATATTTTAATAATACTGACTTGTACATGAATGCCATGTGCACCTGGAGGCTGGAGAGGGCATGGTGAGCTCCTGCAGGTGGCGGCAGCACTGTCGGTGGCCAGAGTGTGGCAGTGGCAAGTGGGGAGCTCCTGCAGGCAGCCACGATGCTATCAATGGTGGCGGTGGGGGTGGCGAGCACTGACCAGGGGTCAGCCACCACCCCACAGACACCAGCAGCGGTGGCCAATGGCATCCATGGACTGCCTGCAGACACCACTGACAGTGTCAGCAGCAGGGGGCGGGGAGCTGCAACCATCTGCAGGCACTGCCGGTAGTGTTGATGGCACTTTTGCACAGGGGGTGCACTGCCACGATCAGGGGGTGGTCTTGTAACGTTTGACCATTCACTTTGAAACAGTTATTAAGCAGAACATGTACACATCCTTTTACATAAATGTGTCAGCTTTCTCATGTAGAAACTTAATGAGGAGTATTGTAATCAGTAGGGGTGGACTGATAGAGATTTTTGGGGCTGATACCGATAGCCAGTTTTTAAGAAGGCATATCAGCCAAAATCAGTCTGATTTCCAATATGCAGCCTGGCAGATTTAAGAGCAGTTTCTGCCTGGTAAGTGTGTTGCAGTGGAAGGGGTGGGGGAGGGGAAGGAAAGGGTGAAGGGAGAGCAGCGAGGGAGTGGGGTGGTGAGGGAGAGTGGGGCTGGGATAGGTGCTGCCCAGGTGGAGCGGGGTGCAGGGGGGCAGCTCCCGTTGCTGCGCACACCCTGGAAGGACATTGGAGGGGAGGTGGGGGAAGCTGGATCTGCACAGGGCAGGGCAGGCTGCCACTATGAGCTGCACCAAGCTCTTCCCAGCAGAGGCTGAGCTGGGCTGTGCTTGGGAGAGGGGCTGTTCGGGGGAGAGGGGGGTTGCAGCCACCTCAAAATTTGCCATAGCTCACACAGCCCAGCCCCTGCTGAAAAGAGCCTGGCACTGCCTTGGCCCCAGCCTGCAGCTGCACCCTGCCCCATACAGATCTGTGGGGCACATGCCTTCAGCGTCCTCCCGAGGTGCACGCAGTAGTGGGAGCCAGCCGCATCCCCCGCAGCTCTGACCTGTACCCGCCTCACCCTGGCTGGACAGCGCCTGTCCCAGCCCCACTCCCTCCCTCACCACAGGGGCCTTGATCTGCACCCCCTCTTCCACCAGAACAGACTTACCAGCTGGATGCAGCTTTCCAAGCTGCCGGGCCTTGCTCCTCACCACCTACATGCTGCACTGTGGCTGCGTGCATGCACAGGCCGTTTATCAGCTGAATTATTGGCCACGTCAGGCCAATTTCCAATACAGTCAATTTTCTTTATATTGGTGCACCTCTAGTAATCACGAGAATATAATTTGTATTTCTGGCTCTGTGGCAGAGTTCTTGCATCTCCATGATTGTGAATTTGTTCATGATTCTCGTGAGCCAGGGCATTGACACATGATACAATTGAACCATTCTCACGTGGCACTGTTTGGGAAGCAGTTCACACTTTAACAAAATACTGTGGTTCTGATATCAGGGAGTAAGAGTGAATACCCAGCCTAGGATGCCTTGGTGTGGGGGAGTGAGGAGGGGCAGTGGTTTTGGTCCCACACATTTTACTTTTGGAGAGGTGGGGAGAATCATGGGACTCCAGTTAAGTAGACAGTGGGGACACAGCTGGTTGTTAGAAAGATAGCTTTTATTGACAAAACAGTAGCTTATTGATTTAAAAAAAAGGGTGCACAAGAAGCAGGGTGCGGGGCGGAGTGGTGGGGTGGCTGTATAGTTCTATCTACATAACAGCTGCCAGTTGCAGCAGTTTGGGAAGGGGAAGGTGGTGCTTAGAGGACTGACCAGACTCATATCATGAAACACTTGGTATCCACAAATAACACTGAACTGATTTCAGTAAACCATCTTAAAATAGTACTTGGTTTTTCCAAGTACACTTTTAAACTGTTCCAGGTGGCTTTAAACCAGTTTAGCAGGCTTTTACATCTGTGGTCCTTGGGTTTAAACTGTTCTAAGTGTTATGGATGTCTGTACCCTTAGGCTAAGTACAGACCTACAGAAAGCCCAAGGCAGAATCAATCCAATCTACATAGGTTTTTCTAAGCTTGGTAGATTGAATCAGAAATGAACAGAACATATGTTCACCCTTCGGTAGGAGGAGTCAAGCACTGACCAAGGCCAGAAGGCAATGGGCAGCTTTTCCCCACTTATCCCCAGTCACTAACAGTTGCTGGGCCTGTGGCTGGGGACGAAAGCTGCACTGGGCTGGTCAGCTGGAGAGAGGGGCAGCCCCTGCCACGTGGTCCCTCCAGCTGTTTTGGGGGAAGGCAGGGGCCTCTGATTTCCTCCCAAGGATGCAGGGCTGGGGAGCAGAAGCTCTGTGACATATTCCAGGGCTGGGGCCAGCCCCAGTGCTCAGCCTGAACAGATGAACACAGGCAGAAGCAAGCTGTCCAGCCTGAAAGGGGAATTAGTGGTGGCCAGCAAAGGATCCTGAGATGCCAGAGGACATCTAAGTTGAGTCAGGAGGGGATCTGGAATGTAAATTCAATAGACCGGTCTAACGTAAAGATATTAAATCTGATTCTACATCCATTTAGGTTTATCTTGGACTGGATTCTACCATTTTTTAAACGAGTCTGTGTACTCTGACCTTTTGATCTGTTACCAGTTTCCGATCACTTATACTGGTTTATGTGTAATTTTTGTACCTAGCCTCAGACACGTATCTGTCAAAAGAAAATAGTCATCATTTACCCTAGAAGAGGACTTGTGGCATTAAAAATAGTTAATGTTCATAAAATGCCTTGAGGACTTTTACAGGAGTTACAGTAAGCAAAGTAGCAGGGTCTGCCATCAATTAATTGAGTGTATATTACACAGTCATGTAATATTTACATTACAGTTTTTTGTGTGTGAAACTATTTAGGGAATTTAATATCTTTGAAGGATTAAATCTTTAAGTTCAGTATCTTTAGAACAAGCTCTTTTTTAGAATTTTATAAACTTTTATGTAGCACTTTTTCCAGAAGGATGTAGTAAACTAGAGGAGATAACAATTAAGATTTCTTTAACTAGTTTTATAATATCAGAAAATTTGTTGGTTGTTATCACCCCCTGGTGTTTGGATTTTAGCATGATCCTTAAAATTTTAAGGAAAGCTAGTGGGTATGAACTTATCCTATAATCTATGAGAAAATTAATAACACTTGTACAATATGTGTATGCAGTATTTTTGTTGAAAAGAACTTCTATGAAGTCCTAATTCTTCCTCATATCTTTAGTGTGCTCAGTTTTAAAAACGTAAATTAAACGTAAACGTGAGTTAAAACTTTGGCAAAACAAACCAAATATAATTTGAAATGGAAGGGGAAGATTTTGGCCCCTAAAAATATGTTCAGTATATTGCTAATACAGCATGGTTTTTAACTTTTATTTTTCATAATGGATGGTGCAGGTAGATGTTCTTCAGAATGTGGGAGAATCCTGCCCCATAACATTTTAAAAATTTGTGCCAGGGCTAATTTAATATGGACTCTCAAAAAGGGTGGACTGAAATCTTTTCCCTGCAGGTTCTCGGCTGATTTTTCTGTACATCTCACAGTCCGACAAAAAGAAACATATCTCATAGAGTGCTTAAGATTTCAGACTATGTAACTGGAACAATCACGCACGCACATGCACGCACGCGCACACACACACACACTGAAATAATGTTTTGCTCAATTTTTATTATTGAAGATTGGGAGGTTTTCTGTTTGCATTTGAAATTAAGAAGTTCATATTAAAAGTACATACCTCTGACATTGTGTTCCCATTGGTGTCATTTTACTTAATTCAGACAAGACAAAGTAGCTCTTTGTGTTTTACTTGTTTTATTTTGTGGCTGATTATTTTAGGAGGAGAAACAATGAAGTCTGCACACACAGTTAGCACTTGGAATTATGTTGCACAGCATTTGGTAAACTGAAATGGTTTTATTTATTCTAGAACTAATGGGCATTGCTTTGCAATTGTTGAAGAAGATGAACATGGAGAACCTACACTTGCTTCAGGATGTATGAAGTATGAAGGTTCAGACTTCCAGTGCAAGGTACAAACAAGACGTTATCTTTAAAATTGTCCCAAAGGCTAGATACAGGTAGTTGAATCTGTGCAGATAATAACCAGTATATAAGAAGTCATGTAAATTCCCCTTACTCTAATACTGTTGGGGCCAACCTTTTTGTAGGTGTGTCACAAGTTGGCCCCGGACCCTCTCCAAGGGCCCCTCTGATTGTCTTCCCCTGCCTGATCTGCTACTTCGCTTTCTGCCCTATCTGCCACTGCGTTGCCTATCCCCCACCCATGCCAGAGCCTGGCCACCCCTGCTGTAGTAGATGCTACTGAGAAATCAAGCTGTTGAGACATCGAGAGCCCCTGTCCTATACTCGAATGGACACCAACTCATCAGTTGGAGGCTCGGAGCCCAAATATGAATATAAACACATTCAAAATGGGAGAGAACAGATAAGAACCGAGCTGGAAATAAATTTTATCTGATAAGAAGGACAATGCTGTATACATGGGTCAATAATTCCCCAATTACCAGTCATTTTAGAATCTTTTGTCTCTGGGTGTCCAACTCAAAACATTCTAAAAGGGGTGTGTTATTATCAGAAAACATTAAGCACATGCTTTCTGAAAATGAGTATTTTCAGGGATGTCAGGTTGGAAAAAATTGTTAATCACTTCTGAAAATTTTGACTTTGATAATTAAATACATAATTTAAAAGAAAAAGAAATGTTCCACTGTATTGATGGAGCGTTGCATTGATGTTGACACATTAGAATTCAGTAAACACTAGTATTGAATGCATATGTGTGAGAACAGACTAATTTTAGGATGCAGACATTGCATATGGGATAACTGAAATTGTCCATAACCGATGCAGGCTGCTCTGTTCTTGCTTTGCACTGCTCAGACTTTTCACAAGGGGTTGCTATGCCTGGTTTCAAATAGTCTATTGAGACCTGAAATTGCAATTGCCTTGTACAGTCCTAGCAAGCATAGCTGTTGTTTTCCAACTGTTAGGAGTCAACAGTTGGTGTCAACACAGCTTGCTTTCAGATTGTATGTTATGGTATTTTTGTACCCTTCGTACTGACCACCATGGGAGCAGTGGTTCTTACCTTAGGTTGTAATAAAATATTATCTTGGGTGATCTTAGGTTGCCCAGACAAACAAGTTGTTCATACCATTGCAACCACCAACTTCCAGAACTTTTTAAGGATTCTAGGATTTGGAACTTCTTCCCACCATTTAATCTTGGTATGAAGATAATGCATGTGAAAGTGATCAAGCTTCTGGCATGGCAGTGATATATTGTGGATGTGTTGCAATCATATAAGACTGTTGAGCAGAGCTGCTTGATGCACAAGTTCAATGCATAGCTTCTCCTATATGTGTTGATCCACAGGCAGTTTGACAGCATTCCAGATACAGAACTGACCTTCTGTATGTGATGGATAATTTCATCATTAAATCATGGTGCTCTGTGAGCCTTGACTTCCTAGATCACAGTAACTCTTCCCAGAGTTGAAAATAGTTTTGTTAATCATAACAACTAGGCAGAAATGCATATTTATTGGCATAGGTCAGAAGAGTACTTCAGTTTTCTTTAGGTTGATCATGATACCAAAGTGATTGGTTGCGTAAGTGATGTGATCAGCAATTGATCAAATGTTGATTTCATTAGGCTGCCAATTCCATGCAAAGTGTTACAAAATATGAACAAATTTCTGTCAGTATGGAACCAAATAAAGGCTCCTGTGTCAGTGTTGTCATATTTTCTTGTAATAACCTAAGGATCCAAAGCCATCTTGTACACTGCACCCTAAAGATATTTCCAGGCTGTCTCATCATCAACTGAAGCTTCTAATACTACAGAAAGTGCTTCTGGCAAGTTTTTTCTGGAGTTTGAATTTGTCATGATTCTCTTACACTGATTTTTCTTACTGGCCTGTGTGGCTGTTTAAGGGGCACTATAGAAGTACATCTGACTTTCAGTCTAACAGTTAGTCCCTCTCACTGACTTGGGTAAAACTGTCATGGAGTGCTCTGTGTTCCACAGTTCTGTAATTGATCGTGTGCTAGTGATTTGAACCAGATATATCTGCATCATTTTATACTTGTTGGCCTCATAAGGCACTGGATTAATGGTGACTAAGTTGTTTGACTTGTAAGGAAAGTAGTAGCCTGCCATTAGAGAGATCATGACCAGCTTCATGATGACCTGTTGAACTGCCCAATGTTATATAGTACAACCACTCTGGCATTGAAATTACTTATGGGTATGGACAAGCATACATTTTAGCTGCTCTAAAAAGCAAGGGTTAGTGGCTGCTGTTAAGCATGCATCAGCTGGTATGCCATAGCAGTTATGTCTGCATGAACAGGTAGGAATACAAATGGACTAAATTGCCCTCACCTGGATCCTGATCGAATCAGTTTGGAACAGTTTTACTGCACTTGTATTGCTATTTCTGGAACTGCTGTAACATATGGATTATGTTGGTGTCTTTTTATACCAATACAGCTGTTACATCTATGTATGCCCTAAGATGATCAACCTATTGCATGAGACGAACTTGATGTCACTTTTGGAGTTTGATGAAAGAGATTCTTATCCTCAAGTAGATGAGTCACTGTTAGCACATACATAGATGGTTAATAGACTCGTGAGGACATTTAGCAAGAGTCAGTACTGCTCTTCTGTGGTGATTCAAATTTGTGGGCAATTTATAAGCAAATGACAAATCTTACTTGGGAGCATCTGCTTTTATTCTCAGATTCACAAGTTCAGAGGAAGGTGTGACCAAGTAGTCCAAGGAGTTTTAGTTTGCTGCCCCTACAGCTGCAGAGCAAAGCACCAGGCTCCATGCAGCTCAGGGGCTCTTCAGGCAGCCTGGCAGCAGCCTGGGAAAGCAGGCTTCTCCCAAGAAAAACAGAGAGCCTGATCCCCCAGCCTGCCTGCCTGCGTGAGTTGTGAAGGGGCCCAGTGCTTCCCTCTGCACCTGTGGTGACCCCCGGGACCGCCCAAGCTGGGGGCCACCTGGGAGGGGGGCCACTGCTGCCATGGAGGTAAGCACCAAGCCCCCCCACCGCAGCCCAGGAACTGCTCCGCCTGCCAGCAGCTCGCCCTCCCCTCCCCACCGCTGGAGAGGCAGGTAAGTCAGCGGGGTGTGTCCACGACATGGGGGTTTAATTGGCCCTAAATTGAAGCGGTGTTTTTAAAAACCCTCTGTTTCAATTTAGGGCCCCCATTTCGTCTACACCTGTGCTAGTTGGCAGGTATCAAGTGGAGTGCCCCAGGGGCCGGTCTTGGGGCTGGTTTTGTTCACTATCTTCATCAGTGATCTGAAAGATGGGATGGAGTACACCCTCAACAAGTTTGCAGTTGACACCAAGTTGGAGGGAATAATAGATATGCTGGAGGGTAGGGCTAGGATTCAGAGAGATCCCAACAAACTGGAGCCTTGGACCAAAAGAAGTCTCATGAGGTTCAGTAAGGACAAGCACAAACTCCTATACTTAGGACAGAACAATCCCATGCACTGGTACATGCTGGGGACTGGTTATCTAAGCAGCAGCTCTGCAAAAAAAGAACTGGGTGTTACAGTGGACAGCAAGTGAAATATGAGCCAACAGCGTGTCCTTGTTGTAAACAAGGCTAATGACTTACAGGCCCAAATTTAGTAGGCGTGTTGTCAAGGGAAATGATTCAGCCCTCTATTCAGCACTGGTGAGGTGTCGCATCTGGAGTACTGTGTCCAGTTTTGGGCCTGCCACTACAGAAAGGATGTGGACAAATTAGAGAGAGCAATAAAAATGGTTAGGGGGGCAGTGGCACATGACTTCTGGGGAGAGGCTGAGGGTACTGAGCTAATTTAGTCTGGAGAAGAGAAGACTGAGGGGGGATTTGATAGCAGATTCTAACCATCTGAAGGGTGGTTCCAAAGAGGATGGAGCTAAATTGTTCTCAG